GGGACAATGCATGCACGGGAAGATCCTTCGCCTTGTACGAGGAATTACCCCTCAACAATATAGCTTCTTTCTGCTTTTGTCCTCCTCAACGGCGTTGAAGCATAATGCTTTTTACACGTCAAGTAGCTACAAATGCGATTTGTCTTCGCTACGTCCACCTAAACGGCGTTTAAGCATAATGCTTTTTACACGACAAGTAGCTACAAATGCGATGTGGCCTCGCTACGTCCTCCTCAACGGCGTTTAAGCATAATGCTTTTTACACGACAAGTAGCTACTAATGCGATGTGGCTTCGCTAAGCTGAAAGAAGGAAAGGCCTAACAACAAAGCTTAGTACAACTGTCAAACAACAAAGCTTAGTACAGGTTTATGTTTGAAATGTCCAAAGCATTTAAGTAAGTTTCTATGTAATGTACAGTCAACAACAAAATGACACTTATCCTCAATTTTATCTGAATTACAATATTAGCAAATTCTTTGCTACGCTCATCTGGTCACGTCTACTCTTCTTCTTCTTGGGTTATTAAGCGTGTGTAGGTTTCACACATGACGCATGATCGTGGTGGGCCTTTGCTATCTTTAAACCAGCGTTTGGCGGTTAGTATAAGGCTGTAACAGAGGGAAAACTTTATATCACAAAATCTATCCCTCAGAAAGCAGTAAATAGTGTCTTTTAAGGGATATGAATTTTGACGTTTTCCATGGAGGATGCCGGACCCCTTACTGTGCACGTGGTCACGTGTTCCGTACTCCGTACACTGCTTGCGCCACGAAAAGTTGGTTTTCTGCCCCCCCCCCCAAGCTGTGAAACTTTGAACTTTATACATTCCAACTAACCCGGCAGAAGTGACATGATTTTATGGTGACCTTCTGAAAAACGCTGATGATGTTGCTACATAAAATTAGACAGTGCTAATGCTGAAGAACAAGTCCAATTATGAAATAGTCTGGAGTTTTCAGTTGTAACCATGAGACAAACCTGTAGCCTCTACCAGGCTACGGAAAGCGGCCGAGAGGAGTAGGAATTGGTCATATAGACAGATAACATGCAAGGGAACTTGGTCCGGACCGCTAGAGAGTACAATTTGCCAAAGCCTGGTAGAGGCTATTTGATTTGCTATCATTAATGGAACCTTCGATTCAATGAAGTCTTCTATGCTCCAAATGAACTATCATTAAATCATTTTAGCGTCAAAAACTCCATTGACGATAGCAAATCAAATCTCAGGGTCAGGAGATAAAAACACTTGATTCGTCTTTTATGGTAGTGAATAGCGTTGTTGACTTCAACCCTCACAGAGTTCGCTTGCGCTGCGTCTGTACACAGATACATACGTGCCTGTGGGCGTACGCGAAGTAACCTCATTAACTGTCCGACAGGCGTCCTTTTGTGATTCAACACCACAGGCATTCTCGTCTGGTTGGGCAATTTAGTCTTCACATGATTGTTGTCATGGCAACGCTAGCTGCAGGGTGTGTAAAACTGGTACTGACGTAACGATCACGTACAATCTTCAGTGCGCAGGTGCGGTTGATAGATTATCGGAAGTTGGAATACTTAGTATACTAGTAGTTACCTTCCGTGAAGGTGGAAAAACTCCAAATCAGCGTTTCTTACGAGAGGCAACATACGTGTCTTCAGTGAGCATCGCAAAATGAACGGCAGCACGGGGAACCTTACCGGAGGAAACTCCACTGTGTTCGAGACTTTCGTCCCGTGTTTTCTCTGGCACTTGGAGAACAAGCTGGAGTACGACCAGGCCGTATCTGCGTGCTCTCATCTCCCCGCTCCGTTTCTGGACGAGAACAAGAAAGTCGGGATCGCCTCCGCCGCTGTCGGGACAGTCGCTCTCCTCATGAACCTCGTGGTTTTGTCCGGAGTGCTGAAAAACCATCAACTGTCTAAACCCATGTTCATGTTTGTGGCAAACCTGGCTGTAGCGGACTGCGTGGCCGGTTTGTTCTCGTTCTTCTTCTGCGCCTGTTTGCAGTTGGAACTGACTCGACCGTGGGCAATGATGGGCTTGTACTGCACCTTCTTTTTGGTGTTGGTCTCATCAGCAGTTGGCGTGGTCCTCCTGTCCGGAGACCGTTATCTGGCCATCCTCCACCCGATTTTCTACCAGACCCGCATGTCTGGGCGACACGTTGCCGTGAGTTTGGGGATCGCGTGGCCAGCCTGTGTGCTCGTCTGCTTGTCTCCTATCATGGGGTGGAACTGCATTGATATGGACACCGAAACCTGCATGACGATGCCGCCCGTAGGTTACGTGATTCTGATCAACACCATCTTGTTCATGGCCGTAGTGACAGTGGTCTTCGTCAACGTTAGAATCTTCATCGAAGTGAAGCAGCGATTCTCCAGACTGGGACCCCCCGAGAACCCTCGAGACGATCTGCCCGCCGACCGCCGCAGGGAACAGCGAGTCGCGGCCAGACAGCGCCAGCAGCTCCAAGCCGTATGGAAGATGCAGGTGACCGTTGTCATCATCGCCGCGGTGTTCATCATCTTCTGGCTTCCCATTTGTATCGGGGGTGTGCGGCACCTTTTGTGCTTCGCAAGAGAAGACTGTGAGATAGAGGCAAGGCCATTCTGGGGGTTGCTGATCGCGCTCTGTAATTCGGCGATCAACCCGGTTATCTACGCACTCAGGATCAAGAAGATTCGGGAAGCCGTGCATCGCAGGGCGCGACGACTCGCCAACGCGGTTCGGGAAAAGTTGGGGTGGTCATCGAACCAAGTGGTGAACATTCAGATCGTTGGAGGTCCAGGGAGAATGGTCGCAGCTGCTGCTGGACCAAGTACGGACAGTCGGACTGACCAGCCGCCTAAATGGGCAGTCAGCCGAAGAGCGGCAGAGAATCCTAGAAACGCACTGAGATCAAGCCGTGATGTGGATGCGGGGACAATGGAGGCTGTTGCTGGACCGAATACGGACAGTAGGACTGACCAGCCGCCTCAGAAATGGGCGGTCATTCGAAGAGCGGACCCAAGAAACTCATCGAAATCAAACCGTGTTGGAAAGCCGGGGACAATGGACGCTATTGCTGAACAGAGTACGGACACTCGAACTGACCAGCCGCCTAAATGGGCGGTCAGTCGAAGAAAGGGTCCCAGAAACGCACCGAGATCAAACCGCGTTGGAGATGCGGGGTCAATGCCAATGGACGCTATTGCTGGACCGAGTACGGACACTCGATCTGACCAGCCGCCTAAATGGGCAGTCAGTCGAAAAGCGGGCCCCAAAAACGCACCGAGCTCCACCCGTCCAGATGTGTTCTTCGTGGCCTCCTCAAGGTCGGTGAAGATTCCTGGACTGATTGAAATCTCAAGCAGTGGGGAAGACACCGACTGAGCAAGGTGAGAAATGTCTTAAAGATTTGAGTGGACAGAGGTTTAAAGAAGTGATGGGTCATGTATCTACATGTCTTCGTCTTCCTAGTGTCTGTCAAATAATTATTAAACTCATAAAACGCTAAATGAGGACAATTCGCATGAGTTTGGAATAACTATTTTTTGTTGGATGGATGGAGATAGAAAATACTTCATACCCTGAGACAGAAAGATTATTGAAAGTTTATTTGTTATTTTACCCTCTGTTTTTCTTACAATGTATACGTGTCATCATTTTGTAGACCTTTTGAAATTTTCATGTTGTATGTGATGTTATTGAAATTGCCCCCCTATTTGCTATCTTTTAATGATATGGAGACATGTACAGGCAACACGACTGAAAGATAGATACTCATAGCTGTTACCGTCAGACTTTGTTTCCACAAAACTCTGCGAGTACTTTGAGTGAATGACTCGCTTTTCATATACGTATGCGTTTTGTTAGGACATTCAGTAGACCGATCCTGACGTCCATAACAATAAATGACAGCATGGTGATTAGACATTCTACCAATGAGTCCGTCAAATATTTGCATGTTTTTGCTTTGCGTTGCCAGGTTTTGGCAAAGATTCGCTTGGTATGAGACTGACGTAAATGGTAATTTAAAGAGATTGACGTAAATGGTGAATTGTAATTAAAACGTTCCGTAGTTACTCTGAAAGTATTTCACTCGTAGATTGATTTGTATCATGTTGTTCATCGACACCGCATTCTCGTATGACTTGGCGTTTGAATAATGTCTATCAAAAGCATATATCTTAATAAAGTGATGGTTTTCATGTGGGGGGGGGGGGTCATTCATGTGGGTCATCGGCTACCTGTCTGTCGAGTGACCGTTTCTCTCAGGGAATAATTTGAAAGAAACATAATTATATACTGCTATAAAGAATACCCCTTCAAAGTTCACAAAAATCGTTACTGTCATGTCATAAAGAAGACGCAAATTTGAGGATATGACAATACCTATGGGGGGAAATCACGGCAAATGTTACTGAAATTGGCAGAAAAAAAACCTTGGGTGTACTCTAGTCGATTATAAAGAAAGCCCTAGTACCGTTATGTTTTTAATCAGCCACGGCGAGAGGTGTAGCAATTCTACTTTCACAACGCCAGGAATGGACAAACGGACGCGCCACTTTCGGCACAGAAACGTACCCGAAAGTAAGCTAAGGCTCGAGTCAAAAAGCAATTTTCACAAAAAATACTTCTTACACTGTTCAGTCGTCATGTTAGTATTTAATGTCATCTGTATACGTAGCAGATTATCGAATTGCGAACTTAAACTCAGAACCTTGAAACCCTTTTCCGTACTTTTCCTACCGCGCACTACCGCGGAAAAGACCCATGCCAGTGGTTGTGCACCGTTAAGTTTTCTGGAGAATGGCAGTGGCTACTTGTGTGTTGATGCCGCACATCCCGACCCCCCGCTTGAGGTAGAAGTAGCCGTCCATTCCCCACTTCTTCCCCCAGGAGTTCTTGATGATCCAGTAGGGCTTCTTTTCTCCAAATATGGTCTTCTCCACGCCCCAGCCAGTCAGCAACACAGCTAAACAGAGCAGAGTGAGAAAAAAGAAGTCAAAACTTTGTTCCTTGGGCCCCTGTGCCACACAGGACCACAGGTCCGCTGGTAGTGGTGTGTGTTTAACTCCAATACTCGCATTGTGCATTTGCCGTGTGATATCTGTTTGAACCCAGCTATATTTAAAACTACAAGAAATCATAGAATTTGTTCTGTTTACCTTCAGTTTTTACCTCCATGAAAAATGGAGGTATTGTTTTTGGCGGCGTCTGTGTGTGTGTCTGTGTGTGTGTGTGTGTCTGTGTGTCTGTGTGTGTTTCCGCAACTTTGTAGTCAGCATAACTTCATAACGCCTTTATGGATTGTGATGATATTTGGTATGCTGATAAGTCTTAGGAAGACAAAGGTCAAGGTCAAATATGGGCCTCCTGGTGGATGACCTTGGTACTGCAGCAGAACTTCCGGTTTTTCTATCTTTGGTCCTGAACATGCTATGGTCTTGAATTTTTGGTGACAGATAGCTTTTCTTGTCAGGAATAAGTGGTGTGGGTTTGGTCCCCCTAGCAGCTTGTTCAGAAACTGCAGGGGACTTTCGGGCGAAATCTTTGAAAGCCAATAAGTCCAGATAGGAACAGCGTATTTTCATCATTTTTGGTGTGTAGGTATCTGACAGAGAGATGTACATAATTAACTGCAAATTATGCAAATGAGGACTTTGTTTGCATAATTAATGAGGAAATTCTATAATTACAGTGTTTTACATTATAGAACTTTCATACATGTAATGTATGTAACCTATGGCAGATGGAACATCAACAGATACTAATTATGCAAATGACCTAATTTGCATAATTAATGCAAAAAATCTACAATGGTGATTTCTCAATGGTGAATGATGGAATGTCATACTTGGGACATCTTTAAGTTAATCAAAAGTTAACATCACGATGCATATATTATGTTAATGCAGAGGTCATTTGCGTAATTAAAGAAGAAATTTACATTTACGTATCAAGCCCATATTTCATGGAGGTATGAGATCTCGGAACTCTTGTTGTGTTTGTGTTAAACAGAGTAATAGGAGCAGAGTGATAAGTTAAAATTTTTCTCACTAATCTCAGGGTTCTGGTGCGGCCTAGGCTGGGCATCCGAGATGTACAATGCGTTCTGGCGTGTGATAGTCTGTTTGGATCCAACTACGAGTACATGTATATTCAAAACTACAAGAAATCATAGAATTTGTTCTGCTACCTTCAGTTTTTGTGCTATTTCAGATTTTGATAGCATGACGAAAATAAATTTTGATAGCACGACGAAAATAAAATGGAAGTAACAGAAACAACTTCAGCATCCATAGGACGAAGCATCCTCATCAAATCTAAGATGTAAACAGGATGCCTATTCTCTCTGAGGAGAGTCTGAATTCTATAGATCCACATGAGGTGTAACTAGTTATCAAAGTTGATGACGAAAGAAAGCCGCCAGGGACCACAGGTTGGTAGCGAAACACTGATAAACAGGATGTCGGGTTCATAATAGAGCATGAATACCACTAGGGTTTAACATGGAGCCGTTTGTTTCCAGAAGGAACTGAATTAGTTCTCTCTCCAGGTGCCTCCTTAGAACCGCGCCCCACACAATGACAGGAAATTAAGAGTTCCATCTCTTATTAAAATCTTCCTAGGCAGTAATTTCAGAAGTGGAGACTTTGAAATGAAACAGTTATTCCTTGCTGGAGTTTGAGTTTTGTCCGTGCTTGCAAAAAATAGTGGTTAGTGGTAGAGGCTAGCACGAGTAAAAAGTCTGGCATCCATCTATATTTCTTGTTTATGAAATATCTAGTCCTTACCATGGTCCAGGCTTTTCGGGTCGCAGAAGTGCGGCTCGAACACCCCCCTGTGGTAGAACTGCAGCAGGGCGGCGTTTAGCGCCACGGACAGCGGCCCGATCTCCATCAGCTGCCCCGCTATCGTCGTCTCGTTCTACGGGCAAGGAATGCATTGTGACAATCAGAGGCAGGCAGAACTAAAGGCCGAACGGAAATTCAAGTGTAGAACCTTTGGCCAGGGGTGAGGGATAGTTGTCAGGGTTGCCGACATATGAACGTAGTGTTATCTGACCCCCTAAATACAGGAATAAAAGAGTTACTGGCTGTGACTTTGCAGATTGTATTCTTGTTACAACGGTTCTGGTTCTATTTTGGTCAGATTTGTGCAGATGTTAATACCTTTTTATAACTGGACTGGTCTGGTAGAGACTAGACCATGATCAGGTCGCTAAAAAGATATTTCTGCTAAACAAAAGAACTTTTGTCGCAAAGTAACTGCAGTGCAAGTGGACCGGTAACTTTCTGACTTGGGACTTATGACAAGATTAACTTTGAATTTGACGTCTGCCATTTGAGCGATCTGATTGGCCGAATACTGGCGTCGTCATGGACATAGATTCCGAGTTGTCTGCAGCTCTTTGGAAGGTTCTCAGTATTCTCCAAGCAGAGGTTGTGGGGGAATGATCGTTAGCTTTTTATATATGGCCGTTTTCAATTTGTCGCTACCTGCACCACCGTCGGTGGCCGGCAAACTTCTCTGGCTAATGGATACTGCCTGGCCAATTTGGTACTGTCTTTTTGCCACCGAAAGGGATCTGCTTGGAGATTAGGTTCTCAGGGGAAAACACCCATCAACACCCCCGATTGACAGCGCACCAGTGCACCTCAAATCAAATCCAAACAACTGCAAAATCCAAACCCGGGAGCGGATCCCCCACTGTTCCTTGACGCTAAAGCTAGGCTTTCTTGAGTCCTACATCCTCTCCGCAAATAGC